CGTCCCAGTGTTCATCGGTACCGACGAGTTTGGTCGATCGGTCCCGTGAGTGGTGTGAAGCACGTAAGAATGCCTTAGTTTTTAAATATCGAAAGCCCAAGTAAGAGGCCACGTATCTCCGTTTGTGAAATTGAAGACTTCCTGTCAAACTTTAGTTTTTCTTCGATTTAGTTATTGATCGATGAATTTAGTATTTGAATTATCAACAAACCTGACACTTTCTTCGGTGTGAAAATTAAGTACGACATTAATGATTGTGTAATTGAAGCAAATCAAAGGAAAGTGCAACACAATTTTTACGACAGACAGTGTAATAACGTGTAAAATTTGTCAGATTGAACAAAATCTCATACACTACCTAGTTGAACACATTCCTCGATTAATTTTCTTTGTCCACTCGTGCGTTTTTCTTCTTTTCTCGCTTCTCCCTCTTCCCAATAAAAGCTTTCTTAGATCCCGATGTGAGTAAAATCCTCCAACTTTCGACGAAAAATTGAACCGCGATCGGAATTTACAAAAATTTTAATGTGAACAAGTTTGTTTTTCAAAATATTCCTTGCGAAAAGGAATCATCCAACTTGTTTCACTGGCTTTGATTTCAGAGGGGGGGGGGAGGATTGTCTCAAATGCACTGGGAAAAAAAAACACATTGGATCTACAGTCCAGACTCTTGGAAACATTAACAAGAAAAAATGCTCTTGATTCAATCAGATTAAAGCTTAAATCAAAAGGCAATCCGCTCAAATTAAGAGGCTTGGTTCTTGATTTAAGCTTAAATCTGATTGAATCAAGAGTTTTTTTTCTTGTTAATGTTTCCAAGAGTCTGGACTGTAGATCCAATTTGTTTTTTTTCAAGTCTGGTTTATCGTAATGACCAGGGGAACCTCTGCATTGTTTATCGCGATGAGAAGCCTCATCTTTTGTAAGTCTTTTCTTTAAGTCTGGCAACAGTGTAGCCGATACTGCGTGGTGTCGGAAACCCAGGAATCAGAGCCGAGAGCCTCGGGAAAGCCGCGGAAATCGATTTCGGGCCCGGGGTGCAGTTGAACGTAACCGGAGATTTTCCCCCGAAAATAAAACGCGGTGACGGCAAGCGCGTAATCATCTCATCTCGCGATCTGGATCTCGGCGGAGCCGCACGGTGGATCGTCAAGGAAAGAGGTCGGACACTATTTCTTAAAAAACCGCAAAATTCAATGTTTATTTTATCAAATTTTAAATCTAACGGGGGTGTTTCTTAGAGTAAATTGCACGAAAGGATTGATGCAAACTTCAACGTTTCGTATTAAAGGTAATATCGTCACCTTCCGGTCAAAGTATCATAAGCGCCATGCGACGTTTCAAAATTTCCGCCGCCATTTTATTTTCTTACGGAAAAATTGTCGGTTGAATCCGTTTGAAAATTTCACTGAATTTTATCGGCGCTACAAAGAAAATTCGGCGAAATTTTCGGACAGCTTCGTTGAACAATATGTATACAAAGTCGCTTTACAACGCACTCTGGCGCTCTACGACACCCAAACGCCACATATGCCTGTCTTCCCAGAGGTTATCGGGCAACTGACACCGCAACATTTCTTCGTCAACGCCCTGCCGCCAACCCTTTATATTACGGGACGTCCCCGTCGCCTCTTCCCAGGTGGTACCCAATCCAAAACTTGTTTGGGCAACCTCTCCTCCGATATTCTCGTTGAACAATTTCTTTGTAAAAAAATAAAATTGCGGCGGAAATTGTCAAACGTCGTGTGGCGCTTGTGATACTTTGGCCGGAAGGCGACGATGTACAAGCTTTTAAAGTTTCTAAATTGTGCCCGATTTCTCCGAAGTTCTTGTTTCATTGTGCGGCGGCGGCGTAACAGTGACCGAGTCGTAATACCTGGACGGGGGGAGCTTTCCGAGGATCGGAAGGGAGACAGGGAGGAAAGCGTCGCGACGCGAGGCGACGCGGTCCGGCGTCACTCCGCCGCGTTTTATTGCTCGATCGGTTATGTGCCCGGTGCCGACATCATAACGGGAGTTATAAAATGCCCGAGCTTTGTCCCTGCCGCTTACGCAAGCCCCCGCCCCGGTTGTCACATCGAATCCGACGCACTCGTCAAAAAGGGGTCAATTGGAATACTTTTTGCAATGGAGATTTTGCAGGTGTGAGGAATTTGCGATTTGACTATTGATTCTTCAGTAAAAGTTCGTGAGAAACACGATGTTCCCACTGGTTTTCTCTGAAATCAACTCCCAAGCTCAAAAAAAGTTCTCAAGTTCAGGCCAAAATGGAGGGGATATCCCACGCTATCCTGAGAGAGTCCACGTCCTCTGAAATCAACTCCAAAAAAAGTTCTCTTTGAGGCCAAAATGGAAGGGATATCCCACGCTATCCTGAGAGTCCACCTCTACATCAAGACAAACTCTCCATGCAAAGATATGGAGCAAATACATTAGCAGTGATGCCGTGTTCTCAGTTTTAGGGTCCCCAAATAAAGTGGCAGCCCTGTCAATGTATTTACTCCCTATCTTTGCATGGAGAGTTTGTCTTGATGTAGAGGTGGACTCTCAGGATAGCGTGGGATATCCCCTCAATTTTGTCTCAACTTTGAGAGCTTTTTTTGAGCTTGGGAGTTGATTTAAGGGAAAACCAGTGGGAACATCGTGTTTCTCGCAAACTTTTTACGTAAAAATCAATTGTCAAATCGCAAATCCCTCACGCATGCAACATCTCCATTTGGAGCTACAATGGGCCTGTTGCAAACTTTTACTAGAGCAAAAATAAGAGTTGTTTCTATCAACACTGTCTAAAAAATGACGATGAGCGCATTAGCAAAGTTTGAAATTCACTCCTGATTTCATAATCTGCGTGAGAAATTTGCGTTTTTTGAGCTTCCCGCTTCAAAAACGATACTACGGCACAGGTGAACATTTTATTGGAGGAGTCGTTCCATCCAACCCTTTCGCAACAGCAATACGCAACATTGCCGACGCTTCTGCGCGCAAATCGCAATCGGGAACACAAGGTCAACCAAAGCGGAACTTTATCAAAGCAAAGAAATCGTAAATGTAAACACGCTAGGCTGTTAACAAATGTTTTGGCGGATTTGTGTCGGTCATGTTGAATATTGTGCAGTATCCTAATGAACAGGGGTTGGATCGAACGACACCTCTGACGAAATGTTCCCCTGTGCCTAAGTATCGTTTCTGAAGCGGAAAGCTCAAAAAAATTCAAATTTCTCACGCAGATTGTGAAGTTAGGAGTGCATTTCAAACTTTGCCCATGCGCTCATCAGTGGCGTGACGTGCTCTGCGATATATCGGTTGATCCACCATTTAAACCCATGGGAAAGGATCGATTGAAAGGGTGTTCGCAGAACACCTTCGAACACCTTGAAAGTCGATTTTCTGCCATAGCCTCAAATGGGAAAATATCGATAATAATCGATCATTCACGCCTCGCCACTAGCGCTCGTCGTCATTTTTGAGACATTTGCCGATAGAAACAACTCTTATTTTTGCTCTGGCAAAAGTTTGCAACAGGCCCATATCTGGCTCATACGTAAGAGCACTTATGTGCATTGGGAAAATAGTGGCATGTCCGTCGTTTCTGAACCGTGTCAGAAATTGTAGCTTTTGATTGCAAAATGTAGTCCAATTTGGCGTATGTTGCTGAAAACAATTAGAGACGGTTGAACGAGACGGATGTGCTCGTGAAAGATGTATACAAAACGATGTAAAAAAGGACGAGATTCCTTTTAGCAAAATAGAAAAGCGGAGAATGGCAAAAAATTACGATGATCTGAAGTTCGCGGGCGTACGAAGGGGGGGGGGGCAGCCCTCCCCCCTAGAATTGAAAATAGTATCATCTGTCTCTCCCCCCCCCAGAAATTCTGGATGGGAGAAAAAACCTTCGTGGAGGATGATTTCCTCTCTTAATGTAGAGTCTCAAATGAAAATACCGTGTAAATTCAGTCAATATCTTCTAAAATTTTCATCATGGAAGCCTCAAAATGCGCCCTAATACTGTTAAAATTTCAAAAAATTTCCAGATGTTTTGAATGCAACAATTCGTAAGTAAAAAAAAAATCGTAATTATTCTACAGAAATTGATACGGAAAATTCCCGTCACCGAAGCCTCAAAATGTGTCCAAATTGATTAATTTCAAATAATTTCCGGATCTATTGGAAAACAGGAAAGAGAAAGTGTCGGATGAATGCCGCTTGCCATGTTTTTTTATTTTATTTACATAACTGCGGAACACGATGGCGGCCGTTTTGAGTTTCGTTAAGTGATGTAAAACCGCCGTATGACTTCTCTACATTTATATCGACTCATGTCTTTGCCGCAAGATACTATTTGAGGCGAGAAGTTCAAAAAAACTGAAAATTGATTTCGTGGATCGTGTTGTAAAGTTAAAAATAATCAGACTTTTTGAATGTGTTTATCGTGATTAAGAAAATTTTCCATTTTTTAGGTAATTTTCCACAGGAATCAACAACTCTTACTACATCAGCAAATGTTTGCAACCGACCCATTAAGCTAACGTGACATATCTGTATCCCACATCGAGAATTTTCAAAAAAAAAACCTCTGCGCGTAATGGTTGAGGTTTGGTGACATTGACGTTCTAAGTCGAAAAATATGGCAATTTCCATTACAGTGTCTAAAAATCTCCGATTCATGTTTTATTTTTTTCTGAATAAAACCTACTGAAATACATCCTTGCAATTGTCTATAAATATTTTTGAATGAATGAAGATAAGTCAGTTAGTCTTTCTATAATAACGAGGCCCTTTTAGATGTTATGACCAGTTCCTTGGAAAAATCGGAAGATTACTCGTGGCATTTGTAGTTCGGACGTGGTGGTTTCACTATATAAAACTTTCTCTCCACATTAGAAAGGCTATTCAGGTGATCCTAAACCACAGATCTTTCTTTACAGATTCCTAGATACTTCACAGATTCTACGTCTGATCCTATCCGAAATCTGTGTCTCAAGTTAAGTGACACTCCTGTTTATCAATCGGACAAATTTACACTGAAAGGAACTATCTTTGATATGACATGGGTCCTTAGACCGTGTATTCTTATGTGTATCGGGGCCCAAGTCACAATGAAGATAGTTCCTATAACCTTTACGTTTTTTCCCCGTAATTTTCTGACTGTACCAATGCAATGCTGTTTACAAGAAACAAAATTAATGATTAGGAAACCGTTTTAGGATCTGAAATTTCAAGGTTGGGAAAACCATCGAGAATTTTTCATGAAAAATCGGCTTTTTTCAAGGCTTATGACTCTGCACGCTTCAGGAAGTGCGACAATGTTTCGGAGCATGAGTACTTACAAATTACGTATTCGAACAAATTACCACTCGAGATAAGCAAATGAAGAGCTTTTCTTTTTCGCGCCTTGAAAAACAAGGCACTCGAGATTTTGCAACTTGAAGAGAGCGCCAATTGAATTACAATATTAGGACGCATAGACTTCGCTTTGCGTCCAAACCCAAACACTTCACAGGAGCTCAATTTAACACTCTTTCTTGGCGATAAAAATTAGCATGACGCACTTGTGTCGTGTTCTTGATACAAGAGAGAACTAATTTTTAAATTAGCGAGAAGTCAACATTTTGAACGTAATGGTTTTTTTTTCAAAAAAAAATTAAATGCATGCCTAGTGCAGATACTCGTACTTCTCAAACTTGTACGTTGTTCAATCGAAAGGTATGTTTCTTTTCCGAGAAGATGCTATTAAAAGGTTCTGAGATTTGCGTGACTTCATATGGCGGGGCGGCCGCTGTTCGCTGTCCGCGGAGCGTTTCATAGTGAATGCGAGTAACTTATGTGCATCATTAGTCCATCGTTTATACAACACGCACATCCATCGTGCATGACTGGTTGCATCCAGGCGTTGAATCCATTGCAGAGATGAGGGACCTGGAGGAAAAGACGCATAATAGCAGTTTTTAGAAAAAATTGAGATAATTATGATTTCATGTAAAGCTAGTCTTAATGCTTATTTCTTGAAGCAATCGCTCTCAAATTCCAATTTTCAAGCATCAAAAAGTCTGTTTGAACTTTCTTTCTGCCATAAGGATCCATGTAATTTCAAAGCTTCAAACACGTCTATCTCAAAATAACAAAAATTGCACTTATGCGCCTTGTCCTCCAAGCCCCTTAGATGTGCTTGTTGACCGAGGTGTATTTGCTACGAGTGCTTCGTTTCACATCGATTATTAAGAAAGGTGTGTTTTAAAGAGGTGGCATCTTTTTATCGATGATTTCTGAGTTAAACCTTGGACAAATATAGAAAACCCCGTGACGTAATTCCTATGTGTAAGTGAAAATTTTTCACGACTCTGTTGAGTGCACATTAAGATTACATTGCTGGAATCTCATCGACTTTTTCAAAATGTTCGAGTAACGTCTTACGATCAATCGTCAATCATACTTCCGAGATAAAAAAAAAAAAAAAAAAAAAAAAAAAAAAAAATCTTCTTGACGTGCTGATTTAAAATCCTCTTGTAAACTGAGATCGTCAAAGCTCTTAAACTTAAGAGACAGACTGCAAGCTTTTCTTATCTTATTGCATCTGAACAAGGCAAGATTATCCTTTCTGTTGTTTGGATGCGAGAAAAAAAGGAAAATTCGTTCATTTGTAGAAAAATGACCAAGCGCAACTTTTAATTTTTTCCCTATTCTCTTGTCATGCCAAAAGCTTTGAGCTGTTAAAATGCAGTCACAAGGAGGTTAATTCTCTGGTTTCTTTCTAGATTATTCAATCTAATAATCCTGTTCATCATTCATATGTAATCCTATAATAGGTGATAATGGTAATAGATAACATAAAGTACACAACATGCTTCTCCGCCCTTCTTGTATAGCACCACGTTAGGGTAGCCAGCCGCACAACATGCTTCTCCGCCCTTCTTGTATAGCACCACGTTAGGGTAGCCAGCCGCATCAGCAGGAAGATCATTTGAAACGCTTCTGGATCTCCAAAGGTTCAATTAAAAATTCCGAAAAAATTAAAAAACTTCACCTTTTGTTAAATATATTTGAGCCTTCTGAAATTTCATGAAATTTCAAAAAGTGAGAATTCACTTTCCACCTCTGCATCTTCGACATGCATTACTTCTGACTCCTCTTGCAATTTATTGTACTTATTATACCCACAGTCTTTTGAAAGAGCAACGGAGGGGTCGGAATACCCCACCCTAATAGTCAATGGAGAATTTGCAAGGGTCTGAAATTTGATGAATTTTCTGTTCAAGTGGAATCCTTTGAGTGAACTGAACACGAAGATACCCTTGATTCATAAATTGAGCAATTATTAGAGGAGATATGACAAAATAACCGATTCTGCTAGAATACATGTGTTTAAATGGGAAATGCCGCCAGATGACGTCACAAGGCGGCACATTTTCTCACTTTTAAATCAATTTTTCTCCAATTTCCCATGTCAGAAAAAAATTATGAAAAATATTGCGAACTCAGCTCATTAGGCACTTTCAGATGAAGCAATAAAAAAAATGCGTGCAAATTCTCCATTGATGATACTGGTTGTTCCGACTAGGCATGAGTGACTATTTCAAGACTTGTACGCACACACAGGGATTCAAAAAACAATGCGTAAGACGCAAACAGGCAAAAATTCCATAATTAAAGAGTCCATTTGTGTTACAGCACGTAGTGGCATCTGACTAAAACCATGAACGTTCCATTTTTTGTCCCCTCCCCACACGAGTTGGGCTTGACGCAGTGACTGTTACCCGTTATATTCTTTTTTTTTAAAACAAAATGTCAACAACGTTATAGAAATGGTAAATAAACCGAGGGCATGTGCTACTCACATTATTGGGATTTCCTTATTTCCGTTGTACAATGCGCCCAGGTTGGAGCCTCGTTTTGATATTATGTGTTATCACGCCCCTCAGCCAAACGGGTGAGTAATTTACATTATTCCTTTAACAATTTTGTTCATTTTTCTCATATTTCTGCCTTTCCTTGGCACGGTAAACCACTAAAATTTGTTCTTCCTGTCCGAAAATGACGATAATGAAAGTAAGTGTCTGTAATATTGTCTGCTACTAACTTAAAGACTGAATAAATATGATCATAATGAAAAACAGGAAAAATGATACTTTATCCTACATACATATTAAGACCCTGAGGCTACAATAATTGTGAGCGCTGTTCGGACCATACCCAGTAACGCTATAGTTTTAAGCTATCTCCCAGAGACACTGCTGGGCAAGATTTTGTGCATCATGAAGCCCTTTTTTAAATTTTAACCTATAGCCTGGAAAATTATGGCATATTAAAATTCGCCAATTTTTGTGATGTCAGTTGAGCACGCAAATGCAAAGATAGGCATGCAAGCACCAGATAAGCAGTGGCGTGGCGTGCTTTGCGATATATCGCTGTTCTGCCATTTAAACCTATCGTAAAGAATCGATTACCAAGGTGTTCGCTGCGAACACCCTGATTATCGATCCTCTTCCATAGATTTAAATGGCAGAATAATCGATACATCGCAATTCACGCCACGCCACTGAAAAGTCGGGAGAGGCCGGTGGGATTTAGGAATTTTTGAAGTCGTAAAATACGGAGTCGAATTCGTACGAGTGTTACCTACAATCCAGTCCTCCTCATGACTTCGGAGGGAAGCGGCCACCCTCTCACCGTAAAAGCGTCGCCACTGATAAAAATCATCATGAGTACGTAGCATTGTCAAGAAAAAGCTCTATAAAAATGGTGTCTGTTAATTCAAATTCTTCGACCTGAAGACATAGAGAAACAAATCAAAATTGGAAACATAGTCTCCCAAATGCATGTTAGGCGCAAAGACTAACATTAAATTGCAATCATTAATTCGTGTGTAATTTCAATTAGACTGCACTTCGCAATATGGACCTACTATTTCTGGCTCAATCATAAATTAGACTACATTTTGCAATCAGGAACTATAAACTGTGTCTCAGTTTAAAACCATCGTATGTACCATTAGTTTCTCTATCCAGACAAGTGCTTTAACAGATGGTTTGGAAGTTATAGTTCCGAATTGCAAAATGAAGTCCAATTCTACTAACTGCGTTGAGAAAATCAAATTGGGAGAGAAGAGGCAGAAGAGAGGGTAGGGAGCAGAATGGAAGGACGGAGGAAGAATGAAGGTTAGTGGAAGAGAAAGAGGGAAAAGGAGCGAAAAAAGAGAGTAAAGAAAAATCAGAGGAAGAAATAGAAGAAAAAGGAGTCAAAAAAGAGGGCGAAGAAAAGTTAGACGAAGAGAAAGAAGAAAAATGAGACAAAATAGAGGAAGATGACAAGAAGGAACGGAGAGTGTAAAAAAGGAAATAAATTGGATAAAAAGAGCAAGGAGAGGAAGAGTGATCCAAAATGTACGTGAAATTTCTGCAGCACAATCTGTTCTGTTTACGATTGTAGTAAGAGGGAAAAGCACTGGTAACACTTTTAAACATGACCAAAGATTCTGATACCACTATTCAAACTCTCGAGAGCGCATCCAGCCTATCCTCTCGAATGAAGGAAAATTTAATGCAACCAGCTGCGCCACAATTAAAAATGACCCAAGGCAATATTCACGGCATTTCATTCTCCGTAAATAAAAAATGTAAAGAATTGGAATCACCACCATTAGGTTTTTATAAATTTTCCTTCAAATGCGTTTTCTTCTTTTCTACCTCTGTGCTGAAAACTCTCTTCCGTCGCCCATGAAATGGGCTTCATTTAAATCGCGAAAGTGTGGAGCTCGAGAGTGAATCTAAATCCACCATCTGAAACATAGATTTCTTTTAATTCCACATTAGAATTGTAAGATTGCATTTGCTCTATATCGCGTGTACCTCTATCTGTTTGCGATTCAGATGCACGAACGAAGAACGTTTACATTTAGCATTTCGAGAAAATCTGAGCCTCTCTTTTAATATCACAGATGGAACGTTCTCTTCATTCAAGCAAACGCGAAGTTGGGTTCAGGCCTAACATTCAACAATTTTTACTCCCCGGTGGGCCGGGTTGCATACACTGGATTTTGCGGGCGAAATCTGAGATAAACCCACGGCCTACGCGTGCTGGACGTATTTCTGCCACACAGAACTATGTGCATTAAGACATGAGCCCTGCGACCCATAGGTACATAGGTATGCATAACAGGGCTCACGTCATAATGCACATAGTTCCGTTTGGCAGAAATACGTCCATATCTGCCGTGCTAAGGAAGAACGCCAACTTTCTGGCGTTGCCAAATTTCTTTTGATAAAACACGAATTTCCTGCTACGTTTATGAATATTTTTCTTTCCATTTTTCAGATCATTTTGTACACAATTTCACCGAAAGTTCCTAAAAATTTCAAGGGATAATATCCATAATTTTCCTTGAAAATACACATTATATCGGAAGAAATTTGGCAACTCTCGAATGTTCATACGGCGTTTTTCCTTAGCACGGCAGATATGGTCTCCGCCCCTCGCGATAGGGCACAGGTGTGTTCGGTGTTTTCCAGTGGCGTGGCGAGCTTTGCGATATATCGATTGAGCCACTCAAACCTATGAAAAAAGATCGATTATCAGGGTGTCCGCGGCGAACAACTTAGTAATCGATTCTTTACCATAGCTTCAAATGGCGAGGTATCGATGATCGATCATTCACGCCACGCCGCTGGTGTTTTCCTCGAGTGTATGCAGCCTGGTGGCCCACCATGGAGTAATATAGCTGCATGTTGTATCCAAACCCAATTTCGTATATTCCTCCATTGTTTTACGCTCAGTGAATTATTCAAATGCCGAGCTCGTCTTTCGGATATCATCTCAGTCGATTAATGAACGCGTAACAAATCTGTGCGATTAGAGCGTCCTTGTTGATTGAGATAGACGTCTCGCTCGAGGAAAACACTAATTGCACCCATACCCTACAGTGAGAGTCGTTGGCACATCTCAGATTGCGCCATAAAAATCGAACGTATGCAACCTGGCTTACCACGAAGTTAAAATAGTTGCATGTTGAGTCCAAACCCAACTTTGTACATTCTTCCACTATGTTAGGCTCCGCGCGTTTTTCGAATACCGAGTCTATAGAAAAGGCATCTCAGTTGATTTATAGCGCGTTATTTTGTTTGCAATGTGTTGCACGGGATATTTTCGGATGATTCCGTTCTTGAGTCGGTTTCTCAATGACAGCACTCCCGATGCCACCATGCATGAACGAGCGCCAGATGACGTCGTCAACAGGTGTCCCGATGACGTTATTAACCGTATATATTCTGTGATATTCCGTTTGTGTATTGTGACAATTTTGAGCCCAAAGGTAGTAGAAAAAAGTTTATTTACAAATAGCTTTTCCTCCAGACTATGGTTTTGGTCTGTGCTTTCAAATCCTCATGAAGAGTCGTGAAGATCAAGTTTCAAATCCGACATGAGGGATTGGCTTGATATTTTTGAGAATCTTTGTCGCGAAATTTCCTTTAAAACGCTCTTCCACTAATTAGTACAAGTAACCGAATTTTGAGGATTTTCCACGAAGATCCCTCTCTCAGCGTTGACGATCACATTTGAGAATGCATGCAGGCGTGCGTTAAAAAGTCTTAAATTACTCCGTTTCAGAACCCATGAGGAATTTAATGCCCTGGGGAAAAGGAAAATATCAGACATTAAAGCCCGAAAAAGAAGAGAAACCGGAAGAAACAGCAGCTACCGGGCCTTCCGAACACCCGAAAACACCTTTGGTGCATGACGAAACGGGGCCGTCAAGAGCGCCCGCTGAGAAACTAAAAGGCAAAGAAAAGGCAGGGAAAGCTCCTTTACCAGAAGGTACATGGTTTATTCAACTTATTTTGTCCTTGCATAAATTGTCATTTCATCAACTTCCATGACTATTCAGGAAAATAAAAATGATACAATGGAGCTCTTGCTTGTATTAGGAATTTGCGATTTACATTCTGATTCCTGTGTAAAATTTTGCGAGAAACACGATGGTGCAACTGGTTTTCTCTGAAATCAACTCCAAAGCTCAAAAAAAGCTCTCAAAGTTAATGCCGCGATGGAGGGGATATCCCACGATACCCTCAGATTCCACCTCTTTAATATCAAGACAAACTCTTAATGCAAAGACAGGGAAAAAATACATTTTAACATTGTTGCTACTTTGTTGGGGGTCTACAAAACTGAGCACGGTAACCTTGCTAGTGTATGTTCTCTCCATCTTTACATATAGAGTTTGTCTTGATATAGAGGTGAACTCTCGTCTCAGGGCAGCGTGGGACATCCCCTCCATCAAGGCCTCAAAATTTCAAAAAGCGAGCCCTACTGGCACGCTTAAAAAGAATCAAAAGACCTTGAGTCAATCACATCTATGTATGAACAACGATATGTATACCTGTCTATTTGTTTTCAACATTTTCAAACGATTTTTATTGCAGCATCTCCGGCAGAGAAAGTGCCTTATAAAAAATTGGATCCTCAGAAGATTACAGATTTGGATGGCAACAATCCTATAATATGGGGCGTTTTCCACCCAGAGGAAGGTTGGCATACGGTTTTTTTTTTATAATGCTCTACATTATATAACGATATCACGAGGCATTATGACGGAGACATAAGGATGACACATAAATACTGATTTACGAAATATTTTAGTTCATCAAGTATTGCTGAGACTCTAAAACTAGGCCGCACAAATGAAATAAATTCTGCGAATTTTATTCGGATCGAGAGCTGTCAAATTCACGTTATTATAGGTTGGGTCAAAATTTAATTCTATGGTAGCAGGGACAGCTCTGTTGAGAAGCGCCATGATGTAAGTTCATTGGATATTGAATCATATTTATTTACCCATACACTCACTAAAAAGAAGAGGGGAAAAAATGATCATGGCTGAACGACAGCCTGCTGTAAATGAATCTCACAGACCAGCATCAGACTCTTGAAGGTGTTACCCCTGCGTTCAATAGATATACCACATGGTAGTCCAGGCACCTTGGGTCAAAATCAGTGGTGTGACGCCCTTTGCGATGCATAAAATGATCTACCATTTAAACCTATGGAAAATCATCGATAAACAGGGTGTATGATTGAACAATCGATTCTTCACCATGGCTTCAAATGGGGAAACATCGATAGTATCGATCATTCACGCCTCGACACTGGTCAGAATATGTCCTGCCAAAGGAAATATTGCCAATTATCGTTTTAGTACAGAAGATTATTAAATCTTCTTTGGCCTCGAATTCATAGATAAAAAAGAATAGTATAGAAAGTGGCTGTTGAGATTGTTCGTCTTTGTTCAGTGTTCCCCAGAAAATCTAATAGCCACTACCATCAAAGAGGTGTGAGAGTGAGAAGGGTCTTTTTTGCGTTGCAACGTTCCGAATTATTTACTAGATAACTTATTTGTTACTCATTAATGGACACACGTTTTTCGTTAATTATCTCAAAGAATTCCAAATCCGAAGAATATAAAAAAAAAAACTAAAAAGGAAATTTGCACAAATTTCCGAGCGAATAAATTCATTGTCATGAGACACTTCGCAACCTTGCAATGCAAAAAAACTTCTCTGGTGCTCACTCTTCAGGTTCTTTTTATAAGAGTTGGTCAGGAGGGTAACCTGGATCATCGATTACCCTACTTCAACTCCTATTTGCGACGTGAGACTATTCAACTGATTGTTTTCAAAACTGCCTGCAACTTCATTATTATTTTCTTTTTAAATATATCTTTACGCCCTATTCGTTCAATCAAACTAAGCGAAACTGATTTCCATCTCAAAAATTTCAGGTTTAACCACCGTGACGCAGGCAGAGTGCAACGCGCATTGTATGACTCACTTTGGCGAGATCATCACGAAAGACCAGGCCAGTATACCTACCTTTGAACCCCACTTAATTAACCAGGAAACAGTCTGTCGATGTGAGATGAACAAAGAGCGGATCAAAGATCATTTCATGGTCGCGGAATTCAATTACACTGAGTTTACAGAGGAAGCTAAGAAGTCGTTCTGTGCCGCAAGATGGTGGTTGAGCCGGCAGAAGATAGGAGTCAGGATCTTGTATGAATTAGGAGCCAGGGAATTGCAGCCCCTAGAACCAAAAGGAGACACAGGGGCTTCGAATTCCACGGGGACCACGGACAGCGCAGCAGGGACTTCAGAATCGGGAACATCGAAAGTCCCTCTAGCGTCTCCAGGGGAGGCGTTGGATAAAACGCCGAAGGAAACAGCGGATGAGCCCAAAGCTAAAAAAGATAAGGGAAAGGCCGAAAGAAGGCCGAAAGAAGTTATTGTAGGAGCCTTTACAAAAGGTCAGTGAACTTTTCACACTGTATATAAATTATCAACTTGATGGTGAAGCTAACAAACCCTGCATCTAGAGACCTCAATTTTTACCTACACAGCCAGAAAAATGTCTGCGGATCTTCCCTTTGACGGTAGAAAAATACCACATAATTCTTGTAGATGGCGACGATAAGATGCTCTTCAACACTCTGCAAACATTTTTGACGATAGCTCTCTGAGTCTCTGACTATCGAGACTCATAGTTGTAAAACTTGTTTCACCTCTTCCACCTTTCTTATCGTGCTTCGTTGTGGGGCGGGTTTCAGAACCCGATGGATCCCGGTATGGGCGAACTCATTTTGGACACCACCATGGGCGAGACAAAACCCAAAAATATATCTATATAATAATAATAATATTAATAATAAGCGTTGCTAGGAAGCTGCAGGATTGTACGGCGAGTTCTGGGTGATGGATAGTTCCCACCAACCGAAAAATTAACCTGCATCTTAAACTTCAATTTTAAATTTCTACTCCAATTTAAAATTTTTGACTCCAATTTCAAAGTTTTAATCCCAATTTTAAATTTTTACCTTCAATTTTAAATTCAAGGACTCTCAATTTAAGGACTCTCCTTTGCATTGAATTGCCGGGGGAGGACTAAATATCTACCGGCCTCGAGCTGTGAATTGAGAAACGAGAAATAATAATAATAATAATAGACCTTGGAATAGAGAGTTACCTGCTTCATTCAATGCAGAAGTCCGTCGTCATAAGCACGTCAAGTATTGTCAGGTCGTTTCTAAATATCGATTAATTTTTTTTTTTTTTTTTAAATTTTCCTTTTAGTTTCCTCTTTTTAATTTTTCTTTTAGTTTCCCCTTTTTAATTTTTCTTTTAGTTTCTCTTTTTTAATTTTTCTTTTTCTTATTCAAGCAAGTTAGTGTGTATTACTGACTTTGGCTAGTGGTCCATCATTAATACTTATACCGGAAGAGTTCCCTCTAAGGAGCAGGATTTCTAAATTAATGTCTCTATTAATCCCAAGAAATCTGTAACTGCGATGTTAGGCTCCATGATATTCCGATGGGTTGCGCAAAGAACATTCGCACTGGTCGCAAGGTCACAATGACACAACGCTATATTTGATCGACTTTTAAATAGTGGTTTTCCAAACGGCCTTTATAGAGTCAAATATGTTCAAACATTAGGGAGTTGACACAAGACACGTGTTAGAATTCATAGGTTGGCTGCCTCATGGGCCCTAACTTTATTCGCGGAGGCATCGGTGAAGGCCTGACGGATTTTCGAAGTTTCACACCTGTCTATACTTTCGCTATACAGGTGCTCTACCTACAGCTCACTGATGTAGCTCATACTCAGAACCGATAAAAATCGTGATCCGTGGTTTGGTAATTTCACCATTGAGCTATAGGAACCCTACCTTCCTCGAAAATAGGTGCCTACGAAAAACAGTCTTACTTTTTTTCGTAGTCTTTTTTCACTATTCTCTAAGCACCTACTTCAAACTCTTGCATTTTTATGAAAAAAAAATTACAAATTGTTTCACCATACCTTCAAAACATCCACAGAATAGTTATAAAGTAAAATCAATCGCCATCAAATACATGTCCGAGCCACAAAATTTAATATTTACAATAAACCTTGGAGTGGCATGGTCTTACCTTATCGCCGCATGTTGTCAACATAACATGTGCTTGAAAAACAAATAAACAGCAGTGATGCAGGGGGGAAAAAAATTTCCCCCTTCCACATACTACTACCAACCTAAGTAAGTGATAAATTCAAATAACTACTGCCCACTAGTGGTAAATGAAAATTATTTGGTGGTGGTTAGTGCTGCTAACCACTGCCCAACAAAGGGTAAAGATTACATCAATTGGTCGGAAGAATTAGTATGGGACGTTGTAAATATTTTGAAATTATACAGGGTGGCCCAGACTTACGGTGACAGGTTTTTTTCACGGTTATTTTAGGTCGGACAATGTCCAGGATAGCGATGGCAAATGGGAAATTGACCCCAAAGAATCCGAGTTTCATTGTCAAACAGCCCCCTTTTCTGGCCACCTTCATGAGGTAAAAGGGGGTCCTCATACTTCAAAAGTCGTGATTTAAGTCAATATTTTGAAACTACTTCAGCGGAATCGGAGAGTACGAACAATTTCAACCTAAATCAACATCAAGAAATCCTAAATCGGCCCATCTGCGTCCGAAACACTAAGCCATGAAAGTTTGGGGGGAGGGGGGGGCAGAGTCGAAGCCCCCTTTTGAAAGAAGCAAGAAGAAATTTACGCTGAGACTCGGGAAAAAAATGTGCCCATGGATAATCGACCACAAAGGATCCGAGATTGAAGGCCCCGTTGCTCCCAGCGGCTTTTCTGATAGGGTAACAAGGAGGCATTAAACTCATAATAAACGAGTTACTAGTTAAAGGCCCCCGTTACCCCCATCAGAGAAGCCTCTGGGGGTAATGGACCCTCAAATTCGGAGCCCTTAGGGTCAACTACCCATAGATACATCTTTGTTTCGAGCCTCTGCGTCAATTTCTCGAACTTGCTTTTTTTGAAGGTGACCTATACGGCTCTGCCCCCTATCTTCAGGGGTCAGTATTTCGGACACAGATGGGATTCTTGGTGTCGATGTAGCTTAAAATTTGTCTTGCTCCCTGTTTTCTTTTTTTTTTTTTTTTTTTTTTTTTTTTACTGTTTAAAAGCGCGGTTTTCTAAGTTGTGAGACTTTGTCGATAACTGTTTCTTTTGGATTGGTTTTTTTATGATTTCAGGGGGTCCTTTCACCGAAGCAATGTGTCATTATCATTGCTGGGCGACATTCGGGCAAATTGAAGTGAGGCCGCTCGACCGAAAGGGCTCGATATTAATGGATTTCACTGAGGCGCGCGTATATCCGGATGGAAATACTTGCAAATGTTTGCTGAATACTTCCGGAGATTTTAAGAGCCACTATAAAAGGGACTACTACGAAAAATTGCAAAAGTGGTGTAAAAATGTTTTCTTCTGTGCCGCGAAGGAATTTTCCAAGGCAAAAGGAACGAACGTCTTTCTTCAGTACGAAACACTTGCTCTCCCCCTCAAGGATAGAGGTAAACGCCCTGAACCGAATACTCCTGCGAAATCTCCTATAATGCTGAGTCCAGCCGGAACTCCACTAATAAGAACTCCCCTGATGACTCCAATTGGGAGCCCTCAGCGTGTTCCTCCGGAAGATGAAACGATAAATGTCGAAATTATCATGGGAGATGCCTCGAAAAGTGAGTGGTTCATATATTTCAGATTTTAACTTGTAGTCAAGCATGGGCGAAATTAGGCAGTCTTTGTAAGTTTGTGGGGAGAGGCACATTAGAGTACCTACATAGCGAGAGTATGGACTGATCGCTTCATGGAGGGCTTAGGGCCCAAAAGCGCAGCCACCCTTCTAACCAACTTCTAACGCACAAAATTTCACTGCCAGTCTGCAGATTCCAATTCTAACCAAGATGGCTAAGAATGTACAAAAATGAGCGTTCTTCCGCAAAAACGAGTAAATTTATGCAAAAACTAAGTCAAATACGTGCTTTATAAACGTTGGTTCGTAACAATTGTATTAGTTAAGCGCTCTGGATAATTGAAATTCATAGGTTGGCTGCTTTTCTGGGCCCTAACTTTATTCGCGGAGACATCGGTGAAGGCCTGATGGATTTTCGGAGTTTCGCATCTGTCTATACTCTCGCTATACAGGTACTCTAAGGCACATCATCGAGAGGGATCTGCGGGACTCTCTCGCTTCCAAAGAGGTTTCGAGAGATTACCCTAGCTTCAAAACAGTGGCGTGGCGTGAATTGCTATGTATCGATTGTTATGCCATTTGAACATATGGTAAAGAATCGATTAATAAGGTGCTCGCTGCGAACACCCTGTTTATCGATCCTTTTCCATAGGTTTAAATGGCATAACAATCGATATATCGCAAAGTACGAAGGGGGCGAAGGGCCTCTCCGGGAAAACGTTGAAAAACTGAGTCGTCTCGCGAGCAATCATGAGCGGTTCTCGACAAAAAAATTGATCCCAGTACTATTTCAGAGAGGAGAGATTTGTCACGCAGTTACACACATAGGAGGCAGCCTCTATCCATCCCCATATCCTCCCTCCCTAATTTCGCCCTTGGTGACGAGGTAACTACAGTACTGCCGTGCTAAGGAAAAACGCCGTATGAGCATTCAGGCGTTGCCAAATTTTCCTTCATAAAACGCAAATTTTCTGGTAAACTTATGAATATTTTCTTTCTAATTTTTCAGATAGTTTTGTTCGCAATTTAACCCGAAGTTCCTGAAAATTTCAAGGAACAATATTCATAATTTTCCTCAGAAATGAACATTTTATTGAAGTAAATTTGGCAACCCTCGAATGTTCATACGGCGTTCTTCCTTAGCACGGCAGTGTAGCTGTGTGATCTATAATAAGGAATGGCTGATGAATATGACGACGTCAGTGTTACTTGCCAAAATGCATGTGAGGGTATACTGCGGTGTAGAGTACCTTAATAGAGAGATAGTATGGACAACTCGATTTATTCAGCTCTTAGGGCCGAATTGGACGACAATGTGTGATGCCGCAATCACACGCTGAATTTGGCAGGTGAATGTGGCAGTCAACAGTCAGCGCTCAACAGCTGAAATTTCACTGATGGACCACTAGACGAAGTACGAATTCATGCAATCTGATACATGTCTCTTGACCAGAATTTCACGTA